GAGGGAGGTGGGCGAGGAGGATGGAGGAACAGAAGCAGAAGCAATGGAGGAGGAGGAGGAGGAGGAGGAGGAGGAGGAGGAGGAGGAGGAGGAGGAGGGAGGAGAAGGAGGAGAAGGATGTGAAAAGGCGAACGAGGAAATCCAGCCGCGAACCAGGAAATTCGGTCCCGAGCGGTGATCGTTTTCTCGGTCGAACGGGAAATTCTTCCGGGCAAGCAGGGAATTTCTCTGGGAGGGTCCCGGGAAATGTTTCTGGCCGAGCGGAGAAATATGTTCGGCTCAGCGAGGATGTCTTTGGTTGACGGAGGATTGGTTTTTGGTGCTAGCACGTGTGCTGCTGGATGCAGGCTGCCCTCGACCTGGAAACCGCTGGATGCAGGCTGCTTCCGCGCGCCTCGACCGATGATGATGTTTTCGTCGTGGGCGCTAGGCCTGGGCCTCTGGCGTGTCTTTGGTGGCTCTCTGGGACTCTGCCTATCCCAGATGTGCCCTTGGTGACATAGCGGGTTTGAGCCCACATGCAGCATTACGGGCGAGAGCAACGTTACGGCAAAAATCGCTCAGAAATTGCACACGGTCACTAGTGTGTCTTCTGCGCTACACTTTTGCAATGATTCTTACGACGGGGCTGGGGCGGACAAATCGTGCCCCCCCTAGAGCGTGAGGAAGAAAGAGAATAACCACCTACCTACCCCAGTCAATCTCCTTAACGGGATCAAAGACTTCGTGCTCTTCACAATAGTCTGAGTTCAGGGCCTTCAGCCGCTGAGCTAGATGCGGATCCCCTACTTTCCATGATGCTCTGAGCGTGATCCCCATGAGAGCGAACCGCTTCCTATGCAAGCGGCCCAGAATCCCTGGGAGATTAGCCGCAGACTATTGGCTGAAGAAGGGAACACTACACAGATGCTCCCATCCTCCCTCTGTTTCGGAAGAGGTGGAGCTGTGGGTTGCACACGTTTGACTGCATTTACTATCGACGCACTTGTGCCTGACGACTCCAATCGCCTGGCAAAAACAGCTACGCTATCGCGGGCCAGGGAGGGAGAACTAGATAGCCCGTAATACCTCCTAGCCATTGCGATGGACCACGCCTTGTGTACAGAGGGGCGTGGGAGCTATCTGCACCCAGCGGGGTTCAGATGCTCGCTTCCTTCTCGTGCACACGATAGCTGTAAAACGTACTACTATACTGGCGGAGCAAGTGGATGTCCAAGAAGTTCACCCCTGCTGTGCTCACACCGTCAAGCACTAGGATGAATGGGCGCGCCTTCTCACTCAACACCTGGAAGAATGACTGGTGACTCTGCCGGGGCCCGTCGAAGAGCACCATGATGTCGTTTTGGAAGCGAAGATAGCATTGCACTCCCACTGATGTCAGAATGGCTGCCCCAATCTGTTTCTGCCAGGTAAAATACACTATCAGACACCCCCCCACTTCCGACCATGCCCATTCCACTCCCAGCTGTGCCCCTTCGGAAAAGCGGGAGTTTTCAAAATTGAGGCAGGCGGATGTTACTCAGGCGCTCGCTTTGCAAAGGGGGAGTTTCGACGGGCGGGTCGGGTCTAGACAAGCGGCTGCGTTTACAGGGTTCGTTGGAGTTTCCTATTCCAGCGTCCGTACGTTTCTTCGATCGATGGCTCATGTAATCACGTGATGGGTTGTTATTTGGCGCGGCGCCCGCCCGGTCAACAATCACCGCCCTAAAAATAAGAACCCCGATTCGGCCGAGATATCTTCAGAAAAAACGGGGAGTTGTCAAAATTAGGGCAGGCGTGTGTTATTCAGGCGCTCGCTTTGTATCATCATGTAGTTGCTGTGTACAGGAAGAGGGGAGGTCAAAGGTTTTGGAAGGGGTCTAGAGAAACGGTTGCGTTTGCAGGGCTCGTTGTTTTTCGCGGGCGCTCGGGTTTCGATGCGTGGTGTCTGCAGGTTTCCAGTCGTAGTTTCCGACTCCAGCATCCGTAAGTTTCCTCGGTCAACAATTCTTGTAGTCACGTGGTGGGGTGTGCTTTGGCGGAGCGTTCGCCTCATCAACGGCTGATGCCCTAAAATTGAAAACTCGCCTGTCGACCGCAGGAAAAGGAGGAGGAGGAAGGAAAGGGAAGAGGATGACGATGACGATGACGGCGACGGAGACAAATATAGTTATGACGAGTCGCCCTCCCGAATCGGCCCGGCAGCCTCCGGGCATCCCCATCGCTGCGGGACATCGCGTCACCCCCGCAGAACTTCTTCACTTCTTCCTCGTTTGTCCTTTTCATCCTTCCCCATCCTCGATCATCGGGGCGATTCGCGGCTTTTGTTGGAGAGTGGGCCCCCAGGTCGCCTCGAAGATCAAGGTCGGGAGCGCCCGCAAGCTTGAGCGGCGCGACGCCATCGTCGCAGGCGCGGGGCTGGCCAGCAGGAGGAGAAAGAGGGCTGGGATGGAGGAGGACTCCGATGCCCACTTCCAGGTTCCAGGAGGGGGAGGAGGAAGAGGAGGAGGAGGAGGAGGAGGAGGAGGAGGAGGAGGAGGAGGGGGAAGAGGAGCCGGAGAACGAGGGGGAAAAGGAGGAGGAGAAGGATCAGAAGAGGGTGCAGGATACTAATTATGCTAACGGAGTTCCCCACATAAAGAGATTAACGGTTTCGTGGGACCCATTTTCTTGATACCCTCCTCGCTCAGGCGGGGCCTCCCTGGAGGTGTGGGAGGGGCACGAAACCATGTAAATAGTATGGTATTCCGATACCCTCCTCGCTCAGGCGGGGCCTCCCTGGAGGGGTGGGAGGGGCACGAAACCATGTAAATAGTATGGTATTCCGATACCCTCCTCGCTCAGGCGGGGCCTCCCTGGAGGGGTGGGAGGGGCACGAAACCATGTAAATAGTATGGTATTCCGATACCCTCCTCGCTCAGGCGGGGCCTCCCTGGAGGGGTGGGAGGGGCACGAAACCATGTAAATAGTATGGTATTCCGATACCCTCCTCGCTCAGGCGGGGCCTCCCTGGAGGGGTGGGAGGGGCACGAAACCATGTAAATAGTATGGTATTCCGATACCCTCCTCGCTCAGGCGGGGCCTCCCTGGAGGGGTGGGAGGGGCACGAAACCATGTAAATAGTATGGTATTCCGATACCCTCCTCGCTCAGGCGGGGCCTCCCTGGAGGGGTGGGAGGGGCACGAAACCATGTAAATAGTATGGTATTCCGATACCCTCCTCGCTCAGGCGGGGCCTCCCTGGAGGGGTGGGAGGGGCACGAAACCATGTAAATAGTATGGTATTCCGATACCCTCCTCGCTCAGGCGGGGCCTCCCTGGAGGGGTGGGAGGGGCACGAAACCATGTAAATAGTATGGTATTCCGATACCCTCCTCGCTCAGGCGGGGCCTCCCTGGAGGGGTGGGAGGGGCACGAAACCATGTAAATAGTATGGTATTCCGATACCCTCCTCGCTCAGGCGGGGCCTCCCTGGAGGGGTGGGAGGGGCACGAAACCATGTAAATAGTATGGTATTCCGATACCCTCCTCGCTCAGGCGGGGCCTCCCTGGAGGGGTGGGAGGGGCACGAAACCATGTAAGTAGTATGGTTTTCGGTATGGAGTGGTATGGAATGGTATGGTAGGTATGGTATGGTACGGTATGGTATGATATGGTATGGTATGGTACTGGAGGTATGGTATGGTATGGTACGGTGTGGCATTGGTGTGATATGGTATGGTATGCTATGGTACGCCATGGTATGGTATGGTACGGTATGGTACGTATGGTGTGGTATGGTATGGTATGGTATGGTATGGTATGGTATGGTATGGTATGTGTGGTAGGAACTATGGTATGGTATGGTGTGTGTGTGGTAGGAATAATATTGTGCTGTATGGAAGATGGAGCGGGAGGTGGGTGGGAAGGAGAGGGTGTTCTGGGAAAACAAGAACCCCACTCAGGATGTGGGGAAAAACAAAGCAAATGAAACGAGAAGAGGGAGCAATCAGAAGGAAGAACGGGGACAAGGAGGAGGAGGAGGAGGAGGAGGAGGTGGAGGAGGAGCAGGAGAAGACGCAGAACAATGATGATGATTAGGAGCCAGAGGAGGGTTAGCAGAGAATTGGTCTAATATGGTAGCTGTGCTCGTTCCGGTCGCGAGAGCAGTTGTCCACCTGCGCGTGTCCAAGCCGGCGAGCCAAATACGAACGCCGCTGGACTGTTCTTGCATATGCATGGGGATGTCGTTGTGCGCAGGCGCCCTTGAAATCCTATTATTTGACTGGCTGCGTCTTCTGCGAATTGGCCTCGTTAAGCGTTGCTGTCATCGTTTTGTACTCGCCTTGTTTAGCCTCGGTATGCGTTCTTTCTAGCCGTGTCGCTCTGCCTGCGCCGCCGCGTACGCTCATGCACGCATCGCATCTTGCAAACTCAGCCAAGTGATTCCCAACCATCCTGTCTTGAATTGGGTCCTCGCTTTGAATCTGCAGCACCCCACGTCTCACTCATCCTTTCTCCTCCTCCTCCTCCTCTTCCTCTTCTTCCTCCTCGTCAAGGCTGCATACTCAAGGGTGCATACTCATACGCACTACTCCGGCTATTGGGCATCTTTCTTTAGCTAACTGGTACGTCGGTGTCTGATTGGGGACTCTTCGGTCTTGTTGCAGGACGTGTGCAGGACAAGCGGGATCATGGCTAAGCGATCTGGGACTGCAACGGATTCTACACCGGACAGGAAGGAAGGTCGCAAGGATGACATGAAGGAGCTTATGAACATGAAGGTTAACGACGGGGGGAATCCCGAAGTGGAGTTACTATCAGAAGGCGCGGGAGGCGGGAAAGGAAAAGGTGGTACGATGGAGTCACCAACTTGGTTTCAACAGTACGAACAACGCCAGAACAGAAAGTTCAATACACTACACCGGCAGCTACATAATGTCAACGACACGGTCAAACAAACGAAAGAATAATATTAGAAATGAAAGGGGACATGAGGAACATGCGCAACAAGGTTGTTGAACTCGAAGGCGAAGTTGAAGCGATCCGAGGGACATGGACGATCTCTACGTAACGCAGGAGGATGTGCTGGAAATGGTTGGCACGATGATCGAAGATAAGATCCAACACGCCCTGCGGAGCCATCGATCCAACGCAGCGTGGGGAAACAGGAGGGATGGCCAAACAAGGGAGGGAAACATGGAGGAGAAGGAGGAGGAGATCTGCGCCAGGCAGGCAATCGCCTTCGGATTCGAAGGACATACGACAGCGGCGGCAGCGATACAACACCTCGAACAACTTCTTCAGCGACTGCTCGGAGATGGTACCCACGCTACGGTGACAACCGGTACAGATCCGACCAGAATGGGCATGGTTGAATTCCCCCACGGTTGCAGCAAAAGTTGGCTTTTGGAAGAAGGCCAGGACTGCATTATCAATCGACGAGTCAGCGTTCGGACATATATTCTTTCGGAACAATTTGACGATGGAGGAGCGTGAACGGGAAAAACGTTTGGGGTACACAAAGCATTTTCTTTGCAAGCGACCGCAGCATTCACATCAATACATTCGTATCATTTGGCCCAGGAGTATGATTGTGCTGAAGGACGCTGCTAGGAAAGAGAGGAAAATTGCATGGTATGATGGGGATGGGAATTGGCATACTACGGGAACGGGGAAGGCAGTGAAGGAGGATGTGGATGAAACCATGGAAGCATGGAGAAAGAAAATGCGTCCAGAACCTGAGACAGAGAGCGCGTGACGTCGCGACGGCGCTTACGACAGTACCACTACTAGTAGCAGGAAAGCACCTACAAGGTCAGTCTCGCGAGTATTCTCTGTCACCCCCAAGGGAGAAGAGGAGGCTTCAATCGATTCCGAATTCTATTTTCCGACAGGAATTTTGGCACCTACCAGGACTGGTCAAGGATGTCGATTGCACTCCCGCAGAACACCGTGGACGACAGCCGCCCAACCACGGACGGCACGTTACAAAGCCCAGGGATCAATTCAGGATCGTCTGGACATGTTTTTGCATGCTGGATTTTCCAATTCTGGTGCAGACGTAAGTCGAGAGACTAGGGGCCCAACGGGAAGCACGTCGACAGCCCTTCCATCATAGATTGCTTCGGCGGGCGGCAAAGGGGCATTTGTTCATGTACCTGGTGATGCCCCGTTATCTTTCCGACATAGCCCCGCCGTTCTTCAGGGGATGTGTTACCTCAGGAGACAACGAGGCTCTGGCGACGACGACCTGGTCACCTGCGCTCCAACTCCGGCCGCTGACGCTGGGCCCCCAGCAAGTTGTGACCGAGCACTGCCAGGCGAGTGCCCTGCAGGAGCCCTTGCGCCTCCCAGGATTGTTCGAGAAGGCCGACTACACTCTAACCAGATTCCTACGACACCAGCTGCCCGACCACGGACGGCAATTTCCAAATCCAGTGGCTTTGTCTCAGGCGATATTGATGCTTCTTCGACTGTTAGTTTTCCAGATTTTGATCTTGGCGGAAGCCGAGAAAATGGGGACTCAATCGGAAGCGGAACGACGATTTTTCCACCAGCTCTTGATTCAGGAGGCGGCGGGGAAATTTATGCGAATGTGGCAGGGGATGTTCCCTTATGTTTCCGACATGCTCCGAACACTTCCCAGGAGATCTGCCGCCTCAGGAGTCAACCCGACTCCGGCGACGACAGGCAAGTCACTTGTGTTCCCGTTCTGGCTTTCGTTTATACTTCCAATCCACCATCCAATCAATCTCATGCAGTCCCCGGTTTCACCAGTACCAGTCTCACGGACTCCAGTTTCACGCCCGCCAGGGTCGAGCGGGAACACGAGGTTGAACGACGACGGTCAGGAACAATCGCATGTGCGACGACCTACGGGCACAGAATGTGCAGATTCTGTCGTAATGGCGCGGTCTGGGGAAATGCGGCCGAATCGTCGCAACTTTGATTTGTGGGCCAGAATGGACAAATTCTGTCGTAACGGCGCGGCCTCGGAAATGCGGCCGAAGTGTCGCAACCATCCCGACCGATTGTACGACCTACGGTATCCCTGACACCACTGGCAGGCAGCGTCGACACCAGCGACAACATCGATATCGGCATCATACACAAGAACGTCAGATCAGTGGAATCCGACGACCGCATCGAAGAACTTCTACGTGACGTGGGTGATTGCCATTGGGACGCCATCCTTATTAACGAAACTTGGAGGACAACAGGACAAGAAATGTGGGTCACAGTCGATGGGCATACTTTCGCAGGATCTGGAAACGACAGCCGGTGCCACGGAGTCGCCATCCTCCTGCACAAACGCTGTGGCCGATACGTGCGGGAGCTCCGGGCCATAAGCCCGAGGTTGGCCACAATGGCGCTCAAGAGAGGACGAATTCGCTTGCAATTGGAGTCAGCATACTTTCCGCACACTGGATACACCGATGTACACGCACAACACATGTATGATGGTATTGGCGCTGTGCTGCAGGAAGCCCGCGCCAACAACATACGAACCATTATCGCCGCAGATTTCAACGCCCAGGTTGGCGCGCAGCGGCGGTTCGTTGAACTGCCGACGGACGACGCAACGACCTCCGACGACGCCTCCTCTTGTTTCGTGGGCCCCAACGGCTTCGGCGACGAGAACTCCAGAGGTCAGCAGTTACGGCATTGGGTGACGCATCAGAGACTCGCAATCGCGAGCGCGTTCTTCCGGAAACCCCTTGACAAGCAGGTCACCTACACCACGACCAAGGGCAAACCACGGCAGTCTGATTACATATTTGTGGACAGAAGTTGATTCCCAATGTGCATCAACGCCGAAGCGTCCAAAATAGCAGACCTCAGCTCGGACCACAAAGCTGTGGTACTTCACATGCGTATTCCAGTGCGGCCACATGGAGATGCCAAGCGCTCATCTCGGCATCCGCTTTCAACCAACAATTCCTGCAGCGGACGGTGGGGGCGCGTCAGTTTCGAGGACGACCAGCAGCACCTGTGCGGCCAATTACAGCCCGAGGCTTTGCCGACACACCCTGAGGAGCTTTGCCACGTTCTCGAGGAAAGTCCATGCGACTCCATGGCGAGAGTTGGAAACAAAACAGGGCCTACACAAACAGCTGCGGCCGCTGCCACTCACGACCCCAAGCAAGCCCACTACGACAGCATCATTTCAGGCTTGATCAAGCAACGCCAGAACATCCCTAATGCAGATGCTGCCACCCAGAGATCAATCAGCCAAAAAATCCGACGTCACCTTCGACGGCAGAAGCGTGCTGACCGGAGAGACCGAATCAATGCCATACCCGAGCAGTACAAGGGTCTGAAGCACATGCGTTTCGCGAAAACAAGGCGGAAGAAAACTCTGATTCTTGAGATGACTGGGGCCGATTGCACTAAGCAGACAACGCGACGGGGCATCGCGGACACGTCTGCGGACTTCTACGCTCAACTCTACGCTTCTGACGTTCGCTGCGCGTCGCCAGCCGTGGACTCAGAGCCACAACAAATCGCACTTCACGGCGAAGGAACTGAAGATGGCAAGATCACAGCTCAAAGGCGGCAAGGCCCCTGACACGACAGGGATCCAGTCTGAAATGCTCCAACAGCCAGGCGTTGAGCTTGAGAACGCATTGTTGCAGCTGCAGCTGTACAACACGATCATACAACCGAGCGCTCCGACGCCAGCAGATTGGAAAAAACGGTCATCACAGTGATCCCCAAGGCGAGTGATTTGACGAATCCTCAGAAATACCGCCCGATCTGTGCGACGCCGATGCTGCACAAGCTTTTCAGCCGCCTCTTATACAGCAGGCTTTCGCCTACGCTGGATCGACATCAACCTGGCGACCAGGCTGGCTTCCGACCTGGGCGGGGCACGCGGGGCCACTTTTTCACTTTCAACATTTTGCGAGAGCGAGCAGCGGAATGGAATCAACCATTATGGATCGCAGCGGTGGATTTCAAGAAGGCGTTCGACACAGTGGAGCACGACAGTTTGTGGAAAGCGTTACTTCATCAAGACAGTTGTCCTGGATGTTTTGACCTTCTCCGACGATTGTATCATGGCCAGACAGCTGTGGTCCGCGCCGACGCCACCAGCAAGCCTTTCGACCTCAGCCGCGGTACGAAACAAGGTGACCCCTTAGGCTCACTATTGTTCAACGCGCTGCTGCAACATGTGCTGGCACCGGTCATCCAGGACTGGCAGCGCCGCAACCGGGGCATCCAATGTGGTGCCACGGACATTTCAATAATCACGAACCTCCGGTTCGCCGACGACATTTTGTTGGCCAGCCAGTCGTTGCCCAATTTGAAGGCCATGCTCTCCGACCTGGTCGCCTCAGCTAGGCCGCGCGGTCTGGAACTGCATCCAACCAAAACCAAAATCCGGACCAACCAGCTCCGACAACGCGCACGCATGGTCAGAGTAGCAGACATGGAAATCGAAGTACTACCACACAGTGGCACCATCAAGTACCTGGGACAGGTCAGCACATTTCACGACGCCACCACGACAGAGCTCAAGCACCGCATCCAGGCAGCGTGGGCATGCTTCATTAGCTATAGACAGGAGGTCACCAGCAAAAATTATCCGCTGGGCCACCGGCTACGACTATACCAAGGAACCGTCATAACGACGTATGGCGCGGAAACGTGAACTCTGATAGAGCCCCTGAAACAGCAGCTTCGCAGAACAAAGCGAAGAATGGTCAGAATGATTATCGGGACGCCACGTCGGCGAACGACAGCCTCACCTTCACCAGGCCTTAACCCAGTGACGAGTCAAAGCGATGGGCACGACGCCGGCAACATTGTGACGACCGACGCCGATGCAGCAACCCACCTACGGACCACGATGACCTTCAGCCCGACAACGTTGAGGAAACGACACAACCGGACACTGGGCCAGACGACGATATTGAACCATGGGCCGATTACATTCGAAGGAACACGCGGATTGCGGAAGCAATGATGCTCAACACACAAAATACCCGACGTGCTACTCATACAAGGACGGATGGTTTGGCGATGGGCAACTACTGCGGCGAACCATCCCCTTACGCGCTCGACACAGAAAGCATTGTGATGGAATCCAATCACAAAAGTTAAGCAACAAGGGAGGCGACGACGTGGAGGTCAGTGCAAACGTTGGGAGGATGATATCCGGAAGTTCCTACATACATCGGGCGGGAGTATTTGCGTCGACGGTGATGAGCAGGGAGATATAGTGGCACCGACCGCCCCCCGACTACACGAGCACAACAACACCAAAGATTTGCGATGGATCCGGGCTGCCGCACATATTGGATGGTGGAGGAGACATGGAGTCGTCTTTGTTTCACAACACAGATTTTTCCATGTCGCGGCCACGGTCTCCACCGCCACGCCCTAGCGGGCGCGCGCGGGCGCCCACGCGGCGCGCGCGCGGATCTGGTGTTCGTTCGTTCGTTCGTTCGTTCGTTCGTTCGTTCGTCCTCCTCCTCCTCCTCCTCCGCCTCCTCCTCCTCCTCCGCCTCCTCCTCCTCCTCCTTCTCCCTCCTCCCATCCTTGCCTCTGCTCTCCGCGAGCCCATGTCGGCACGCCCGTCACATCTTCCGTGGCCCCAGAGGTAGCCCAACTGAAGACCCAAATGCCAGGTTCTCATGCCGGCGCCGCCTCATTTTGGCCCCTCACACGCTCCGTGGCCCCACAGGGGGCTTTACCGAAGGCCTTGGTGGCAGGGATCGCATAGCGGCGCCGCCTCCGTTTCGGCACGCCCCTCCACACGTTTGGTGGCCCCACCAGGAGCTCCACGCTCCAGTGGCAGTGCCCGCATGGCGGCATGGCGCACCCCTCGCACGATGCGTGGCCGCACGGGGTCCCAACGTGCGCCTGGCGCGCGCGGGCGGGGCACGCGTTCTCGCGTGCCCACGAAGGGGACCCCACTCGGGCGCTCAGGACACGTCACGCGTTAAAACGCGTGCGCGGCAGGGGGGGGCCCACACGCCCCTGGCGCGTCCGCGCGGGGCACATCTCTTCACACGCCCACGCCCCCCAGGGAATGACCCAACGTGGGCGCGTCGGACTCTCTACGCGTGAAAATACATGCGCAGAGGGGGGACGGCAACGTGCGCCTGGCGCGTGCGCGCGGGGCACGCGTTCTCACGTGTCCACGGCCTCCAAACGGGAACCCACTGTGGGCGCGTCGGATCCTTCACGTATGGAAGTACATGCGCGGAGGGGGCTCCAACTTGGACAGCCCGGCCGAGCGGCCTAACAGGTGACAGGCGCCGCCGTGCAGGAGGGAGATGACGATGAGGGGAAGGAAGGTGGAGGCAGGAAGATGATGAGGAGGAGGAAGGAGGAAGGCGGAAGGAGGAAGGAGGAGGAAGAGGAAGGAGGAGGAGGAGGAGGAAGAAGGAGGAGGAGGAGGAGGAGGCAGAGAGTGTGGAGGAGGAGGAGGAGGAGGAGGAGGAGGAGGAGGAGGAGGAGAAGGATGAGGAGCAGGAGGACCAGGAGGAGCAGGAAGAGGATACGCATGACGTGCAGGAGGTAGTGGTTGCAGCCTAGCAAAGGGAAAGCGTTACACGCGCATCCGGAGAAAGTTTGACTCGAGTTCCGTACCTGGTTCGTGGATCTTTCAAGTTGTTTCTCGTTCCGTTACAGCTCTTTCGTTCTTGGAATGGTTGGGCGAATAGGGGAGCCGTGGGGAAAGGAGGGGCGCAAAAGGAGGAGGAGGCGAGGAGGAGGGAGGAGGGAGGCGAGCAGGAGGAGGGAGAAAGGAGGAGGGAGGAGGGAGGCGAGAGGAGGGAGGCGAGGAGTGAGGAGGGAGGAGGGAGGAGGAGGAGGAGGAGGAGGAGGGGAGGAGGAGGAGGGGGAGGAGGAGGGAGGAGGGGAGGAGGAGGAGGAGGAGGAGGAGGAGGAGGAGGAGGCCGATGACGAGGAGGAGGCACAGCGCCTCGAGGAGGCCGCCGCCGCCGC